GGCCCTGTTGTGACACAGGGGGAAACTGAGGCATGGCAGGAAGGGATTGCAGAGCCCAAGGCCCTCTTGTGACACAGGGGGAAACTGAGGCTTGGCAGACTCCAGGGCCCTCTTGTGACACAGGGGGAAACTGAGGCACAGCGGGATGGGGCCGCAGAGGCTGCCGAGCCCAGGGCCCTCTTGTGACACAGGGGGAAACTGAGGCATGGCAGACTCCAGGGCCCTCTTGTGACACAGGGGGAAAGTGAGGCACAGTGGGAAGGGATCGCAGAGCCCAGGGCCTTGCTGTGACACAGGGGAAACTGAGGCACGGCGGGATGGGGCCGCAGAGGCTGCCGAGCCCAGGGCCCTCTGGTGACACAGGGGAGGGGAGGACCCCGGCCCCGGTACCCCGTAACCACGACCAGCCCCATCCCCGCTTCACCCACCTGGGTGTCCTGACAACCCCTTCACTTGCTCCCGGCTCGGTGAGACCTCGCGCAGCCGCAGAAGACAGAGCAAAAACCGGCGCGGGAGCCGGCCAACAACGGACACGCCGATTGGCTCCTGCTGCGGATGACTTCGGCCAATCGGAGGAAAGGGGGCAGGGCCAGAGGGTGACGTCACAGCGCTAGCCGGGGAAGGAGGGGCCGTTCACTCTTTGTTTCCCGGGGCTGCTGAGCCAGGTCAGGGGGCGGGTCCACGGCCGGAAGTGATCGGCCCCTCGCAGGAAGGAGGCGGGGAGAAGAAAGGAAGTGACCTCACAGCGGGAGGGGGGGGGGGGGAAGGGGCCCTCTCCTCCATCCCCCAAAGCTAGGCCCCTCTTCTGACTTAAAGTAGCGCTCGCCGTGGGAGGGCGGGGCGGTTCATTCTCCGGTGAGGGAGGGGGACCGGAAGCAGGTGTAGTCAGGACAGGAAGTTGCCCCACAGGGGACCGGAAGTAGGTGTAGTCAGGACAGGAAGTTGCTCGTTCTGTGTGAGGCTGCTGTTGCTGGGGCGCCCCCCCGCTCCCCAGGCTCCGGCCGGGCCCCTCTCTGGAGACTCCCCGGCGCTAGCATTGATTAGGCGCCTATTGTGTACCTGCCCTCAGGGAGGGAGGGCTTGCCAAGGTTACTCCCCCGGAGAGGGGGAGGGGAGGGGGAGGGGGAGGGGAGGCCACCTCTGCTACACACAATGTCAGGAGCCGGGGCGCCCAGAGAGGAGACTGAAGAGCTCACGGGCCTCGGCCAGGGTCACTGGGAAGCGTCCGAGGCGGCCCCCGGCGCCCTGCCCCCGCCCGGCCGGCCGGCATCGGCTCTTGGGCCGCTCTCGGGCCGTGGGGGAGGGGCTGGCCGGGCTGGGGCCCCTTGGCTGCCGTGCCCTCCTGACCTCTGTACGGAATCCACGCATCCGTCAGGCCTTTGATGTCGTGCACCCCATTTCTGCCAGCGTTTCCCAAATACCAGATGAGGCTCATCGAACTGGACGTCCACCGCGCTTCTGCACTGGCCTCTTTTGAAAGGGAGCCTCGGGGACTGGCACCATTTTGTTCTGTTGGGCTCCTTCTGCTCCGACCCAGAGTACAATAAGAGGCTGAGGTCGGGGTGCAGCAGGGCGCCCCTGTCTGGCCGGTCCCTGTCCTGGCTGCCCTCCGTGGGCCATCGGAGGCCTTGCCCACCGTGCCTCCTGTCCCTGATGGGGATCGCTCGGAGGGGGCCGCAGCCCACCGGCTTTTTCGGAGAAGCCGCTGTTTAGGCCTAGGGCGGTGTCCCCCACCTCGTTCCTGTGAAGGTGATCTTTCCTTCACACCCAAGCACAAGAAAGTCTTTCCATCATCCCTACTTCATTCCATCTTGTTCTGCTGAGCCGTACGCTCTGGCCTGTCACCAGGTTTTCTGGTTTTGACTTAGGTCACTTTGGGCCTCTCGAGGAAGAGGGAGTCAGCTGGAGACGCTGGAGTTTGGAGAAATGAAGGCTGCACCGATGGACTAGGGGGTCATTTGCACAGAGGACCGAAGCTGGGAGAATGGGCCTGACTCAGGGGAGTAGAAAGGAGGGGAGGGAACCAGCCTGAGCCAATGGGGGAGGGGTGGGGCCGGCCGCAAGGAGCAGAGACTGAAACGGGAGGACGTAAGACAGCAGCGTCCGGCCGGCTTTGGGAGAAGAGGCCGACGGGTCGAGGAGGATCAGGATGGAGAAAAGGCTACGGGATCGTGACAATGAGGTGGTCACAGGAAACCTTGGGGGACAGTTTCACGATGAAGAAAAGGAAGAAACTGAGGCAGCCCAGGGACTGGTCACACCAACAGTAAATGGCTTTGCCAGACTTTGGCCCCAAGACTCCCAGGCCCCATCTGGGACGCCATACCAGCGCACAGCCCGGCTGCATCGTCCCCCTCACGGGAGCCGTCTGGGCTCTACCAGGGCCTTCGTGAGGACTGTAGACCAGCTGAGCAGACCAGCTCCAGCTCACTCAACGTTACTTACCTTCGAGGCCCACTCCTGGCCTTCCTGCATGCCCTCTCACATCATGACTCAAGGCCAAGCAGCCAGGGCTTTGGACAGAGTGGAGATGTCCACTGTCCCTTCAGCAGGGAAGACAGGAGTCCGTCCATCTGAACCCTCTGCACCTAACTGCCTTTCAGGGTGGTCACAGTCCTGAGGATGGCCGTTCCCTCACCGAGATTGTGCCCAGTTAGGGATCCAGAGGCCTGGGGGTGAGCTTTGCTGGTGACCTGACCTTGCCATGGATGGGACCTTCTCAAGAATGCCTCCAAGCAACCCTTACCCCATTAGCCTCCACCTCTGGGCTTGGGAAAAATGAGTCAGTGCTCAACCAAACACAGGTCTCCATTTTATTCTGCATGTCCTCAAGAGATCCTTGGTTTGTGCTGGGGCAGAAACTCGGCTGGTCCATCAGCACCATCTCTGGGCTGCTTACAGAAACGTCATCACTGTGCCCTGCTTGCCAATTTGCCAGGGCTCCAGGGGGTAGAACCGAATGTTAATTCTGCAGGAAGTAAGAGTATGAGCCAGTCGTCCCCCAGTCACTGTCAGTCTCACCCTCCAGCCCCTGTCACGCAGAGCCCTCCATCCCAGCTCCCACGGCCTCCCAAGCTGCTCTTCAGAGCATGTGTATGCAGCATCCGGGGAGGCAGGAAAGAGGGAGAGGGACCAGGTCAGGCTGCTCCTAACCCTAACCCTAACCTGCTGGCTAGGTTAGCCCCTGACCACTGCACAACCTTCTCCCTCCTCCTGGGTCTGTAGGTCAGGTAAATGGACTGAGGACAAGAAGAGAGCCCACCCTGGGCTCTGAACCAAGCAGCAGTGGCTGCTGCCCTCTGCCAGCCACCTGTCTGTCCATTGGTGGGGAGGAGACAGCAGGAAATAGCCTTCACACAACCTCAGGAAAGCTTTGCCCTGTCAGAGAACCATGGTTTGCCCCTTCGTTCTACAAAAGGGGACAGTGAGCTCCAGACAGATTCAGCGATTTGTAATAGGCAGAGGCAGTCAGAGACTGAGCCAGGATTAGAACCCAGGTCTCTTGGCTCTCAGTCTGGCCTCCTGGTGGGAGCTTCTCACTCAGCCGTACTCACGTACACCAAAGCAGAGAAACCTGTGACTATGGAAAAAGAATCCTGTCGTCTTGTCCCCTTTACCCCCAAACACCCCTGATGGGACCAGACCGGATCACTGTACCTCCCCCAACAGGGAGGGGGCACCACTATGCACAGAGCAAAAGGCCTGGAGTCAGCAAGCCCTCAATTCAAATCCTGCCTCATATACTTCCTGAGTATAATCCTAGGCAAGCCACTTAGCCTCTGTTTGCCTTAGTTTCCTCATTTGCAAATGGGGGCAACAATAGTGGCAGTACCTCCCAGGGCTGTTGTGAGACCCAAGTAAGTAGTATTTATAAAGTGCTCATACATCTTCACACGCTAGCAGTATTGTTATCCTCATCATTTCCAGTCAGGGGAGGATTTCTCTGTGAGCACCAACTGAGCCGGTTCAGTGGGCCCTGCCAAGGGAGCTCAGCCCTGGAGCCTTGGCTGGGGCACAGGCCTTCTTATTCCCGGGTTGAGCAGAGACACTGAGGGCTGAGGGCACAGGAGCAAAGGTCACAAACCGGCCTGGGGGAGAGGCCTTGGGGTGTACTCTGGAGCCTATGCATACAGCACCCAGATAGACAGGAGGAGGGAGAAGGGCCAGGTCAGGAAGCAGAAGTGTGTGAAGGGAATGAAGTCAGCTCGGAAAAGGAGGCCGGAGTCCAGGCTGGAGGGAACCCGGAGTGACGGGCTAGGATGTGGGGCTGGCCTGGACGTTTCTTTCACGGTACCCCACAAAGATCAAGTACTGAGGGTCTTTGGACCGTAAGCATCCGAGGGTCGGAAGGGCTGAGCAAGGCCTCAGGGGCCAAGTAGTTCAATTGCCCATTTCACAGATAAGCAAACTGAGGCCCAGAATCAATAAGTGAATGCCAAGGTCACACAAGAGAGTAAATGTCCTGACTTGGGACTCCAACCCAGGCATCTGGGGATCCCCTTAAAACCTTCCCCCCACCCCCAGGGCTGGGACCTACCGGTCCTGACTCAGGCTCAGTTCCTTGGTGAGGAACTCAAAGAACTTGGCGCTGTGGTCCCGGTTCTGCTCCGCTGTGCCAACCACGCCAATGGAGGAGACTGTGAGCTGGGCACAGGGGTCCCCTGAACCACCCAGGATCATGGTGAGGTCTGGCCTCACAATCACATTGACTCTCTGCAGAGAAGGAAGGAGGAAGGTCACCAGAGACTAGGCAGAGGAGGCTAGCAGGGAGACCCAGGCAGAAACGGGAGCCAGGGCAAGGCCACCTTCAGGGCTGAGGAACGTGGCCCGGACTCAGGGAAAGGCAGGAAAGGAGCCCAGGCCAAAGACAGGAGGGAGGCCAGGCCGAGGCTGACAGAAGCTGCAGGAGCCCAGGGTGGTAGAGGCCAGGATCAGAGACGAGGGAGGCCCGGGCCACGGGGCAAGGACGGAGACCGAGGCCGATAAAGCCTACGGGGAAGGAGTCTGGGGCCACGAACGGCAGGGGCCAGCCGGAGGAGCCGGGTCTGGGGGCAGTAAGGGCCCCAGGAGGTGAAAGGCCAGGCAAGGAAGGAGGCCGGGGTGAAGGGCCAGGAGAGAGGTCAGGGGGGCCGGAGGCGGGTGCTATTGTGGGGGCTGGGGCTCTAGGGGCCCGGGGCCAGTGGGGGAGGGGAGGGGTGCCGGCTCAAGGCGGCCAGGGGCCACATCGGGAGGCCGGGGGCAGCCCCGTGCCCAGGGCGCACTCACGTCCTGGGGCTTGCCCAGCACGGCCGCGGTCGCGGCGCACAGGCGCTGGCTCAGGCCGCCGGGCAGCCGGGCGGCGGGCAGGCTGGTGTCCAGCTCCACGTAGGGCATGGCGGCCGGACGGGCTGGGACCGCGCTCGGGGGGCTCCGAGAGCGCCCTTCCCAGGGCGGCCGGTAGAGGGCGCAGGGGACGGGGGTGGAGGGCAGGACCGGGGGGGGGGCCGGCGAAGGCTAGCTCCGGGGCGGGCGAGGGGGAGCCCACCCACAGGGCCGGTGGCTCTGGAGCCCCCGCAGCCGGAGAGCTCGGGAGCCGGGAGTGAGCTCGGCACGGGGCGGAGCGAGGCAGCGATTGGCTGGTCCGGGACGCGGACGCCTCCGATTGGGCGG